GAGTCCTATGTAAATACAATCCTATGTAAATACAATAGTATCAATCGCCCGTGTTTTGATGGATCTCAGAGCTATACTTGTACAGTGTAAGCATAAGACAGAGCAACTTTGCATTCTAAAGTATGCGCAGCAACGCCGATGGATCTAACATCCAAAACAGAGATACAGGTCAAAATTCAATGAATTTGCACTTTTCAACTCGTTGGAACTCGTTCTGCTCATCTTACCGTCAAATGCTACTCCTGGATCTCAAATGCAGTACGAAGAATGTAATGGTGTAAGGGCGTCGTCCAGTCGGCTTTACATTTCAAAATATAAGCTTAAGCATGGTTCCAAAAGATACAGGAGATTCAGTCAAGATCCATGATTTGACTTTTGGTGCATTTACAGTACATACTAGTGGTTCATATAAACTTGATCTTTGTATTGAAAAATAGTAGAATCTGAAAAATATGTTATTAATAGTACTACCGTATACCTTATGGATCAGTACCCATGATTTTGCCTTATCGAGTTGTACCCAAATTGCTGTATGGTGTCAATAGAGTACGATTTGGTGGTACCTTGGAAGGCTGTACCCAAGTCGCTTTATATTGGTCAAAATTGTCCAATTATCTCGTTCTAGCCAATTAAACAAGTCGAAGTAGTAGAAGTAACCAATCCGAACGCATTGAAAAGAAATCAGACCACCTTATTGAGTTGTTATCCATTTCGATCAGATTTTACTGACATTTTCGGGGGTACAGATCCATAAGGTATTCGGTAGTCCCTTGATCCGGATTATAATTGGCGCTGTCGTTAACACTATATTCTGCATTTCACCCAAATTTGGACTTGCGAGTCATTTCACCAAATACAGTACTACGTAGTAGCATTTAAATCCATATGATCTCATTTACTGTTAAGCTTACAAGACGAGATTTGATTGGCGGTTCTTTAATCAGTATTTACAGTTAATCAAATACTTTACTGTTAATCCAATCTACGAAGTACAGTAATAATTAAGACATTCAATTATGCTGACGGCTCCAGTTTCGAATCGATTAGACCATACTAACGTTAGTACTAGTATCTTGGTACATGGCTACGCAATATTGAACCTGCACTCAATCTGCACCAAGGCGTTCATTCATCAGTGTAGATCAGCTAATCATCAGCAGCACAACGATATTGTGGCTCAACATGAAAGAATGAACAAATGATCGAGGTCTGGTGAGTAGGAGCTAGTGATTAAGCCGTTGCAAATTTGGCCCAAACTTTATTTGAAAATGAAGGCCTCTGTTCAACACATGACACAATGCGGGTTACTGTATATCACTTATCATTCATGGAGCATATAACAAATCCAGTTTTTCCTCATCTACTATTCCCTTTCAAGAGTTGCATCCGTCCTCTCATTGGCATCGAGATTTTATAGTTTACTGTTAACTGTTAGACCATTCCAAGCACGAATTGAGAAAAGTGCGCGAAGGCAGTTTCGCACACATGAATGGAGTGCTCTGATTGGTTCAGACTTGCACTGCCGTTACAGCATTCACATTTTCGAATTGGCAACCTCAACTCAGCGATGAAGGCGATCACATGTGCGGTGATCGACGGTGGGGATGTCATTTGCTTCACTCTTGAAGAACGACGGCGTGTCAGCGACCTCAAGATAGCGATCACTGAACGAATGGCGTTTCGCTTTCTTCCGCACCAGTTGTCTCTTTTCCTGGCGCAAACGAGCGATGGCTACTGGCTCAAGAAGTCAGATCCCGATATCACGATACTCAAGTCTGGCAAGGTACATGGTCGAATCAAGCAATTGATGACACCAGCGACCGAGTTGGACGAATCAACTGAATTGCGTGAGCTCAACCTCCCTGACGACAAGAACGACGCCATCCACGTTTTGGTGGCCAAACCACATCATGTGAAGATCTTATGCGCGGTGGTCGGGATTGACGATATCCTTCGAATGAACATCGACGAGCGGGACTCCGTCATGTACTTGAAGCAAGCGATCAAGGAGTCCATAGGGTTTCCATTTCATTGGTGTGAACTCAAGCTCTACGTCGCCAAGGTCAACAACGCCCACTGGCTCCGGTCGGACAATCCTGGTGTGTCCAAGTTGAAGGCTGGCGAGATCTCACGTGAAATCAAGCGAATGATGACGGACGTGGCGGAGATGAAGGGGGAACATGAATTGAGCGAATTCCACTTCACTCAAGTCGAAGCAGGTCCCAGCGGACGACAACTCCACGTGATCGTGGACCTTCCGGCGTACTCAAAGGCCATCGCTCGTTACGCTCGTACGTAGTCCTGAAATTTATGATTTGTGTACTACTGGCGAAGTATTTGGTCATTTGGAATTGGATAGGCAAAGTCAGTAGTTTGGCGTATTGCCACTTCGTCTTCATCGTGATGTACCTGGTGTTGGCTGTTGCCAGTGTTATCGTCGCAGTAGACTGCGCCGCTGTCAAAGAAGGCGGTTTCGCGAGCCTGGTTGCGTCATGTGGGGGAACATTCTTTGTGACTGTTCTGTCCATGATTGAGGCGGCATTTCAAGCGAGCAAAGATTACTACGAGTCCAAGGGCAAAGAAGCGGCATGTCGCGAACGCTTTGGCTATACGCGCATACCGCCTAGCGACGACGTTTCGCCCTGACGCCGCCTTCTCTTCAGCATGGCCTGAAACCTTTCAATTAACGTTAATAACTACTGGTATAACGTTATTTATACTTTTTCTCCTTTACTTATACTAGTAGTACTACGTAGTACTTATTAATACTAGTGTAGTACTATTAATTAATTGTACTACGTATTGATAGTACTAATAGTACTAGTATTCACTACCAGTTAAAGTGTTACTATTAATAGTACTATTAATAGTACTATGTTATATTGTGCTTTTCACATATTTTGGCTAATCTGGGTATAAATACCCGCTTTTAACAAGTGGGTGACGAAGTTTTAGATTAATTCAACTTAGTTTTAGCTAATCGGAAGTACCTATGATTGGATGAGCAAGAGCTGTTCCTGCAGCATATGTTGCTAACCTGAAGCGTTTGCCCATTTCATTTCGGCAAACGCGGG